TCAAGACCAGCGTTGAGCTGCACGGGACCCGATCTCAAAAAATTAAAGAGGGAGGAGAGAGCGGAAGCTGGAGAGATGATGGGATGTTTAAGAACACTGGCGTCACTTTCAGAGGGGTCAAGTTCAGTTTTCAGCACCCACGTCAAGTGGCTCACCGTAACTCCAGTTTTGGGGGGACTCTGATGCCTTCTGGCCTCTGCAGCCACCACTACAAGCACATGGTTCATATATCCCATCCTCCAAACCCAGACCTGAAGTGTAGTAGCAGGAGGGATAATAACAGCACCCAGGCAGGACGACTATTAACATTTGGAAAAAGTCAGAACTCCCCCTCCCCCACCCCCCCAGCTCCCGACCACTCTTAGTTTGAGTTAATTTACTCCCGGATTACCGCCCTTGGCTTGTTGCTGGGTCGATCGATACCCGGACATTCTATTTGCTAGGTAAACGCTTTACCACTGAGCTACATCTCCACATACCCCTACCCAAAAGTTTCTAATCGACAGAATGTGTTAGTGAGAGTTCAATCTATTTCTCCATGGAAACCAGAGAAAAGAACGCAGCGCCGTAACTACAGCGGCAGGAGGTGGGGCTTTAGGGCGGAAGGGGCGGGGCGAAATGGGCACTTCCTGGTTTCAATTTCGTGGCGGGACTAAACGCTCGGATGTTCCCATAGAGATCAAACCTATGGCCTCTGCAATGGAGCAGCCGGGGGAGAAGCCCGCAGCCGAGGCTGAAGACTGCAGAGAGGTGCGGGATCTGCCGCAGGCTGCGGAGAAGTGCTTCGAGGACCGCGTCCGCCTGCTGCTCAGGTGCCCCCGCCGGGCATCCCGCCCTTGCTCAGGAGGCCCAGGGTTCAAATTCAGACTCACTGGCTGCCTCTTCTGGCTCCGAGCCTGAATGCACTTTTAAGCGTTTTAAATTCATCACTGGGGAAGAGGGCAGCAAAGGATACCGTGCGCGCAGAGCTGCTGGGTCGGGGGTTAGGTGGGACCTACTGAGGAAATGCTTAGCAGTGCCCGGTCCTTGGCAAGGCTTCGAACCTATTCTGTCTTACCTGTCACTGTAGTCACAGCTGGTTGAGCAGTACGTCCAAGCCAAACTACAGGAAGCGGAGGAGCCCAACCTTTCCCCCACCCCCCTTTTTTTTCTTTTGATTTTTCGAGATAGGGTTTCTCTGTATAGTACTGTCTGCCTCGGGAGTGCTGGGATTGAGGCGTGTGCCACCCCCTCCCTGCCCAACCCACCTTTTGTTTCCTCTGTTTCCTATGTTCTCCAGTTAGCGGTTTCTAGGGACATTTCTAGGGAAAATTTGACGTCAAGGAGCTGATTCAGCCCAAGGCCAGGACCAAATCCACTCTTCTGATCTTCTAAGAAAAGCTGTCTCCTGTACCGGAAATGGGACCCAGCGTCTGGTGTATGCGTAGCGAGTGCTGTACCACTGGGCTTCAGCGTAGTTCTTCCGTGTTTAAATAAGGATGGGAGCCAAAAAGATTTCATAACACGTGAATCCGAATGTTAATGCTCGTAAAGTTTTATTGGGACTCAGTTTTCTGCTACAGGGGCAGAGATTAATAGTTAAAACAGACTGTATGACTCCCGAATTCTAAATTATTTGCTATCTGATTCTTCACAGAAAAAAAAAGTATTTTTTGCAGACCTTTAAAAGTCATAACAAAGAGACTTGTTTGAATTTTTGGAACAGGGTCTTGCTGTGTAGCACTGGCAGTCTGTAATTACGTATGCCAGGCTAATCTTGAAATTTATAGTAATCCTCCTGCCTCTGTCTTCAGGGTGATAGAATTATAGGCATTAGCCACCATACCCAGCCATACAACGGCATATCTATTGGTTTTAACAAAATCTCAACCCTTGGATTTTACCGGTAAAGACTTAGGATCCAGATGCTGGTGTGAAAGCCTGCTAGCTCAGAGAGGCAGAGAAGGCACCCAGCTGGCCTTCCTCCTTAGCAGAGGTCCAGAAGCTGCCACTTTCTCAAATGAGTCTCCCTGTCCGTCCATCCTCCTGGCTCCCTCTAACTCTCTGTCATTTTTCCTGTGTTCGCTCCCTGTCAACTGGTTGCTTGTTCTGTCTCTTGACCTGTGGTTGACTTTATTTAATCCTGTTTACAATATTCAAGCAGAAAACTGTATTAAAGGTGTGTGTTAGGTCTGAGCCACACCACAACTAGAAACAGGTTTTTTCAGTAAATGACACGATCTCGGGATTCACAGTGTGATCAAATATCCTACAACACACTGTCCGTCTGCCCATGACAACTTCTTTCCATTTCATCTGAAAAAGAAACTTTTTTGTGTATCTATACTTAACACTTCTACTTTAATTTGTAATAACTTGTCGGAGGCGGGGGTTTTGGCTGCAGTGATAATTGAACCCAGGGCCTGAAGCATATTGGGCAAGCACTCTAAGACTGAGCTACATCAGCCCTTTTCTCACTATTTTGAGATCGAATTTGCTAAGTTGCCAAGACTGGTCTTGAACCTGCTCTGAAGCCCTGGTAGGCTTGTGCTGACTCTGTCCTCCTCCCTCAGCCCTCCAGGTCACTGGGATGACCAGCCTGGTACCTGGTGTGAAATTGTTGTTTTCATTTGGAATTTTGTCACTTGGAGAACTTGCTGTAGTGTAAGCTTTTGTAATGTCAGCTGTTTCTTAGCTGTTGATATAGGTCTCTAAAAACCAACACTCAGGACTATGCAGCTGGCACTAGAAGCACTTGCTATCATTCTCAGCTTTTTTTATATATTTATTTTATATTTTATTTTGAATTAAGAATAACAGAACTAAAAAAAACTACTAAATATTAAGTACTTATCTCGCTACAAATATTTTTTGTTACGTTTTTTTGTATTTACTGAAAATGCTTTTTAAGATTTTTAGCCAGGTGGTGGTGGTGCATGCCTTTAATCCCAGCACTCAGGAGGCAGAGGTGAAGTAATAGGGGCCGCGGGGCTGCGTCCCCAACACCCCAGCCGCCTGCTCGCCTAGCTTATGCCCCAAAATAATTACACGGACACTGTATTCTTTTTTTTTTTTTTTTTTTTTTTTTTTTTTTTTTTTAAATTTTTTTTAATTATTTATTTATTTATTTATTATGTATACAATATTCTGTCTGTGTGTATGTCTGCAGGCCAGAAGAGGGCACCAGACCTCATTACAGATGGATGTAAGCCACCATGTGGTTGCTGGGAATTGAACTCAGAACCTTTGGAAGAGCAGGCAGTGCTCCCAACCACTGAGCCATCTCTCCAGCCCCCACTGTATTCTTTTAAACACTGCCTGGCCCATTCTCTTCTAGGCTAATTCTCACATATTAATTTAGCCCATTTCTAATAATCTGTGAGAACCAGTCTTACCGGGAAGATTCTAGCCTAGCATGCGTCTGCCAGGGAGCAGGGCATGGCGTCTCTGCTGAGGTGTCTGCTCCGGAGAGCAGAGCTGTGGAGTCTCTCCTCACTTCCTCTTCCTCCCAGCATTTTGTTCTGTTTTCTCCTCCCACCTATCCTCTAACCAATAAAATGGGCCAGGGCAGTGCCTTTATTAGCCAATGACCCTCCTCCATCACAGAGGCAGGAGGATCTTTGTAAATTTGAGGCCAGCCTGGTCTACAAGAGCTAGTTTCAGGGCATCTAGGACTGTTACACAGGGAAACCCTGTCTTGAAAACCAAAAAAAAAAAAAGAAAAAGAAAATAGAATTATAGAGCTAAAATTTTAACTTTTCTTCCAGGATACCCTTTTCCCACTGTATTCCATTTTATGACTTCCAAGTTTCATTGTTCCACAATGATTGTAACCACAATCCATAAATACTTTCCTATCTCCTCTCATTTTCAATTTGCAGGCTAAGAGCACAGACAAAACAGCAGCTCTTAGAATACAAGTCAGTGATTGATGCAAGTAAGTAGTTTCATTTTCAAGTACTTCTGCAAGTTGGCTGATGAATACTGTATTTTTATTTATTTTTTTTAAAGATTTATTTATTTATTATGTATACAACATTCCTTCCATGCATGTATATATGCCAGAAGAGGGCACCAGATCTCATTATAGATGGTTGTGAGCCACCATGGGGTTGCTGGGAATTGAACTCAGGACCTTTGGAAGAGGAATCAGTGCTCTTAACCTCTGAGCCATCTCTCCAGCCCCCAATACTGTATTTTTAAAATTACTTATTTTTATTGTATATGCATGCATTTTGTCTGCTGTATATCTGTACCCATAAAGCCAAAGAAGGTATTGGATGCCCTGGAACTGGAGTTGCAGAGGTTATGAGCCACCATCTGGGTGGTGGGAAATGAGCCCAGATCCTCTGCCAGAGCGGCCAGGCCTTTTAAATGCTAAAGCCTTCTCCAGCCCCCAGGTTAATGGTATTCTTGGGGGCTGGGGAGAATCAGCTTTACGAAAAGTTGTTTTTCTCAGGCATGGTGACTCACGCTGTAAATCCGGTACTCAAGAGGTAAAGAGAATCGGATCTCTGTAAATTTGAGGCCAACCTGATTTCCATATCGAGTTTCAGGCTAGCCCAAACTACACCACGAAACCCTGTCTCAAGAGATAAACAAATTGTGTAGATTCTGTGTAGCAACCCAGGTAAACAAAGAAACAAGCAAGAGAATTATGAAGGGTGGGAGGGTGCAGCAAAATGGCTCCCCTGGTTAAGGCGCCGGCTGATAACCCTGACCCCTGAGTTCAATGCCTAGAGCCATGTGGTGGAGGGGAGAGCTGACTGTCCTGTGCGTTCCCTGATATGCACACACACACACACAATACTTATTTAAAGAAAATTGTTACTGACTTAAAAAAAATCTTTTTACTTGTAGATGAAGAAAAAACTCCTGAGGAGACCATGCAAGAAAAACAAATGAAAGTGTATGTCATATTTTAGTATTTTATCTGTGGCTTCTACTAAGATTACATCATACGATCCATACCGTCTTCTTTTTCACAGAGTCTTTCTTTGACAGTGCTGTCTGTCTTTTCCTTTGTAATTCCAAATAAATAAGTGGCGCCTATGTTTAGAGGCTGTTGATTTGCAGCAGGGTGTTTGGTGTTGGGGCTGGTGGCTTCTGTGCTGTCTGGCCTTCCCCACTCTGGCTAGATCCAGCTTAGTGAGGAGGCTCAGCCATCAGCTTCCCCAGCTGTGGAGATGGGCTGCCCTGTGGTAAGCCTTCGCTTTCTTCTGCTTTCCAAGACTTACTTCTTACACATTGCAGTAACAACTTTACTAACATTGCAGAAATTCTTTGGTTCATGTTTCTTTAACAGTAAAATTGAAGACCTGGAAAATGAAATTGAAGATGTAAAAAGTAATTTCGAAAAGAAAAATCTGGCACTAAACAGGTAACTCTTACCTTAATACCACTAAGAATCGTGAACTAAATGCAAACATGAACTTGGAGAGGTTAAGGGGATTTTCTTTTCTTCGTTCTTTCTTTCTTTCTTTCTTTCTTTATTTTGGTTTTTCAAGACAGGGTTTTCTCTAGCTTTGGAGTCTGTCCTGGAACTAGCTCTGTAGACCAGGCTGGCCTTGAACTCACAGAGATCCACTTGCCTCTGCCTCCCGAGTGCTGGGATTAAAGGTGTGCTCCACCACTGCCCTGCAAGGGGATTATTTTTAACGAAGCTAAATTAAATGATGATTAAGCCCAGGCATAGCCTGTGATCCCAGCACTCAAGAGCTTGAAGCTGGAGGACCAGGAATTCAAAGCCAGCCTTGGCTACATAGGGAGATCCTATCTTTAAATGGAGGGTGGCATGCAAAGGGGAAGCTGGGAGTAGTTGGTAGTGTATATCTTTAATCCCAGCACTTTGAATACAGAGTCAGTTGGATCTTTTTGAGTTCAAGGTCAGCCTGGTCTACTTGGCAAGTTCGAAAACAGTCAGTTGTGCCTAAGTGTTGAGACCCTATCTCAAAACAAAAAACAAAAACCAGAAGGGCACAGAAGAAAAGAGGGAGGAACAAAAGAGATGATGATTAGGTAATGTTACAGAAACTTGACCCTGAAGAATTGGTATCTTCCTTTGAAGAAGGTATGTAGGAGGGTCTGATAAGGGGTCTTCATGAAGTTAACAGAGTTTCAAACATGCTGGTGTTTAAAAGTGGTACACAGGTCCATTTATTTCAGTAACTGTTAGTACATAGAATTGTGACAAAATTTTTCTGATGCAGAGTCTCATTCTATAGCCCAGGTTGGCCTGGAAATTGGGGTGCAGTTCAGATTGACCTAAAACTTTTCGGAGTCTTCCTAACTTAGCCATCCAAGTTCTGGGGTGACTGGAGAGGGCCGCTTCCCTTATCATGAAGTTTAGATGTATTTTAATTACTGCTTTTGCTTTTAGGTTTGTCATTTTAGATTTGTTTGGGTTGTTTTGTGTTGTGTTTTGTTTAGAGATAAGAACCTAGGCTTGGAATTCATAAACCTCCTTTCTCCTGTTCTGGGACTACAGGCATACCAATTTCCAGGCGATACTGTTTTTAAAACATACTATGTTTCGTGTGTATTTGAGGCGAAATCAATCTTGTTAGTTTTATAAAAAGTTTTAATACCCTGTGTTATTTGTTCTGTGAAGTACAAGCTTTTTCTCTTAGGTCCCATTTTCTTTTTTGTTAATTAATGTTTTCTTTTTCTTAGGATGAAACTTTCAGCTGCTCTTAGAAATAACTTGGAGAAGATGGGCACTGAGAGTAGGTATGGCCTTTACATTTCTTTTCTTTCTTTCTTTTTTTTTTCTTTTCTTTTTTTGGAGACAGGGTTTCTCTGTAGCTTTGGAGCCTGTCCTGGAACTAGCTCTTGTAGACCAGGCTGGCCTCGAACTCACAGAGATCTGCCTGCCTCTGCCTCCCAAGTGCTGGGATTAAAGGCGTGCACCACCACCTCCCAGTGGCTTTTACATTTCTCCTGGGTTTGGACAGAATGGAAACAAGAAGGGAGGTATGCAAAATGATTTTAGGTTGTGACTTTTAAAAAAATGTACATGAGTCAGTTGTGGTGTACAACTTGTACAAGATGAGGCCATCTTGGTCTATATAGTGAGGTCCAGGACAGTCAGGACTATGTAGAGAGAGAGCCTGTCTCAAAAAACTTAGAAAAAAAAAAGTGTGTGGGGAAAAAAAAAAAAAAAAGAGGCAGGCGGATCTCTGTGAGTTCGAGACCAGCCTGGTCTACAAGAGCTAGTTCCAGGACAGGCTCCAAAACCACAGAGAAACCCTGTCTCGAAAACCAAAAAAAAAAAAAAAAAAAAGTATGTGTGTGGACAATTTGAGGAAAACTTATCTGTTTTCTCTTGACATATGGACCCTGGGAATGAAATAGGACACTACTTGTTTTTCATTGGTAGAAATGAGCTTGTTTTAACTGCCTGGGCTACAGGATGAGTTTAAGGATAGCCTGGACCACTTAATGAGCCCCTGTCTCAAAATAAAGTTTTTTTTTTTAATTTATTTATTTATTATGTATACAATATTCTGTCTGTATGCCTGAAGGCCAGAAGAGGGCGCCAGACCTCTTTACAGATGGTTGTGAGCCACCATGTGGTTGCTGGGAATTGAACTCAGGACCTTTGGAAGAACAGGCAATGCTCTTAACCACTGAGCCATCTCTCCAGCCCAAAATAAATAGTTTTTAAAAAGGTCTGGGATGTAGCTCAGTGGTAGCTCTCGTAGTTAGCAGGTATGATGGGGAAGTTCAGTAGCAGTTCTAAGACTCTGAAAGTCTTGGGAGGGATAAAGTGCCCTCCTGGGAGCCCCGAGAAGTTCTAGGATGGACCCTGCTGCCTCTCCCATCTTGATGTCTCAAGGCTGATTTATAAGCTCTCCAGGTTCCCACTGGCTCAGAGTCTGGATCCTAGACTCTCAAGTTTCAAGGCCAGGTGTGGTAGCGCCTGCCTTAAGCTCAGCTCTTGGGAGGCAGAGGCAGTCTGAACTCTGGAATTTTGAAGCTAGTCTGGACTCTTGTGAAACCTTGTCCTAAAAATTTTTTTTTAACATTTATTCATTTTTGTATGGGGGTGGGTGGGTATGGCACCCACATAGAAGTGAGAGGACATCGCGTCTCTCCTCTGCTGAGGTTCCAGGGGTCAGACTCAGGTCATCAGGCTTGGCAGCGGGCAGTCTTACTCACTTAGCCCTCTCGGAACCTTACACCAGTAGTGAAGCTGGAGAGACAGTACAGCAGCTAAGATCTGGCTGTGCTTCCAGAGGACCTGGGTTCCATACCCCACACCCACATGGCAGCTCACAACCATCTTGAACGCCAGTTCCCAGGGATCCAATGTCATTTTTTGGTCTCTGAGGGCACTACACATGTTTTTTGTAGTTATATATGTGCAGGTGGCAACCCACACACATAAAATAATAATTTAAAAAACAGAACAGTTTTATGTTAAAGGAGCAAAGTGCAATTTAGACTCCCCTTACGTAACGGAGGCCACGCGTTGTCTGCAGCCTATTTTGGCATTTACCACTGCTAACAATCATTTGAGTAGGGCATCATTAGTGTGGACATCTCTAGCTCCTGAATGGTGCCTTAGATTCCTCCCTAAGCAAGCTGAAGCCCAGTGTAAGCAGTAAAAGAAACCACCTTCAAGCTTTTAATTAAACACTCTCACCTTTAACCAGCCAAAGGTTCCTTTAGTTGGCTTCCGTGAATATCTTAAAATGTCACTCCTCTGTCCCCTGGCTCTCGAAAAACACTGAGCCCTGGACTCTGGTGTGCTCCAAGTCACAGGTCTGTTCTGCTCAGATAAACTCATTACTTCGTGGTTGGGTTTGTTTGTTTGGTTTGGTTTTCTTGTGGGTTTTTTGTTTTGGTTTTGATAAAGGTTCTTTCCATGTTGGCCATGCTGGCCTTGAACTTATTTCGTGGTACAGGCTGGCTTCAAACTCAAATCCTATCTTACCCTCCAAGTCCAGGAGTTGCTGGTTTGGCCCCTATGCCCCGTTTATACAGTCAGGGGGTGAAATCTAGACCATGGTTCAGATTTGTTCATCCTAGGCAGGCAGTCTGCTAGCCAAGTACATTCCTAGCCCCAAAGTTTACTTTTTTTTTTAAATTACTTGATATGGATGAGTGTGTGTGGTTGTGTTTGTATGTGTACCGCATTGCATGAAGTGCCTGCAGAGGCCAGAAGAGGGCATTAGATCCCTGGAACTGGAGTTACAGTTGAATTGTTCAGTGAGCTGTCATGTATTTGCTGGGAACCCAAACTGGGTCTTCTGCAAGAGCAGTATCTTAACCACTGACCTAATCTTCAGCCCCAAGATTATTTTTAGCTTAAGTAGATAAATCATACTTTGTTTGCTTTGCAGTGTGCTCACTGATGACATGAAGCAAATATTAAAACTACAGAAGTTGATTATGAAGTCCCAGAAGGTGAGCTGGCACATGGGGTGTGTGTTTTCAGGGTTTCGATGGGCATATTGGGCTAACTGTATGAATTCAGGATTGAGGTGTTCACTGGGACCGTGTGTCTGCAGACTGCTCTCCTTAGGTTGTTTTTGTTCTTTTACTGAAGGTACAGATTATCAACATAATTCAAGTGACTATTTTCTTCCCTTGGCTTTGTAGTAATAGGGAAATTGTATCAGTGCATATGCCTGTGGTCCTTAGCACTTAGGAGGCAGAGACAAGGACTAGGAGTTTGCTCATTCTTGGTTCCATAGTGAGTTGAGGCTAGCCTGGGCTATCTGAGAGATAACTGGGAGTACTGGAACATGTCTTTGCTATTAATCCCAGCGTGCAGGGTGAGTTCAAGGCCAGCTACTTAGTAGACTTCTTCCTTCCTTTCTTCTTTCTTTTTTTTGAGACAGGGTTTCTCTGTGGCTTTGGAGCCTGTCCTGGAACTAGCTCTTGTAGACCAGGCTGGCCTCGAACTCACAGAGATCCACCTGCCTCTGCCTCCCGAGTGCTGGGATTAAAGGCGTGCGCCACCACCACCCATCTAGTAGCCTTGTTTCAAAATCAGACACAAACAAAAAAAAAGAAAGAAAGAAAGAAAAGACAAGAAGGGGCTAACAAAAAAAAGAAAGAAAGAAAGAAAAGACAAGAAGGGGCTGGAGAGATGGCTTAGCAGTTAAGAGCATGGGCTGCTCTTCCAGAGGTCCTAAATTTAATCCCCAGCACCACATAGCAGCTCATAACTGTCTATAACTCCAGTTGCAGAGGATCGTACACCCTCACATAGACATATATTCAGGCAAAATACCAATACACATAAAAACAAAGACAAGGAGAAAGGGGGAAATTGGAGCCTAAGTCAAACTAGGCCTGGAGAGATGGCTCAGTGGTTGAGAGCACTGATCTTTCAGAGGTCCTGAGTTCAATTTCCACCAACTCACAACCATCTATAGTGGGATCTGATGCTTCTTGCATAAAGGTATACATGCAGATAGAGCCCTCATATATATTAAAACAAGAAGAAAAGAAAAAAAAAAGGAAAATCAGACTAGTCAGAGGTGGAATCCCACCACTCGGGTGGCAGAGGCAGGTGGATCTCTGTGAGTTCGAGGCCAGCCTGGTCTACAGAGTGAGCTCCAGGACAGCAAAGGCTACAAAGAGAAACTCTGCCTTGAAAAACCCAAAAAATAAAAAAGTGAAGAAAATCAAACTCTGTGAAGTTCAGTGATATATTATTGCTTTATCATTGAGTGACATGTTTTCATTTTCATAAACAGGAGTCTGCGGAATTAGAGGGAAAACTGCTTGACATTAGAAAGAAGAGACTTCGTATGTAGACCGTGTTTACAATTTTTCTTACCCGTGTGTATGTGTGAGTGCTGACATACTCATGGGGAGGTTGGTGAACAACACTTACGAGGTGATCTTTCCTTCTGCCACCCCAGCTCTCAGGCTTGGTCACAAGGGCCCTTACTCACTGACATCTTGCTAACCCTTGGTTTTGGTTTTTCCAGACAGGGTTTCTCTGTGTAGCCTTGGCTGTCCTGGAACTTGCTCTGTAGACCAGGCTGGCCTCAAACTCAGAGACCTGCCTGCCTCTGCTGGGATTAAAGCTTTGTACACCACTGCCACCTGGCCTCACTGACCCTTTTCAATTATTTAATTGCTTATAGAATACTTTTTATCTACTTCAGCTATTAACAGGGACATATTTCTCAGCAGCTGACAAATTCAATTATCACAATTTCTGAACATGACACTTTTAGATTTTTAGATCATGGTCAGCTGTGGTGGTCTGCAAAGCGAGTTCCAGGACAACCAGTGCTTCACAAAGAAATTCTGTCTTGAAAAACCAATAAATAAATAAGTAATAATGAGAAAAGCATGTATCCCTTTGGTGAATGTAAAACTGAAAGTGGCTAAATATTTATGAGAACCAAGGCCTAGGAATTTAACTCAGTTGGTAGAGTTTACCCAACATGCAAAAAGCCGTAAGTTTGGGTCTGGCATTAATCCCAACACGAGAGAGAGAGAGAGACAGAGAGACAGGAGGATCAGGAATTCAAAGTCAGCCTGAACTATATGAGACCCTGTCTCAAAAAAAAAACAAACAGACCATAGAGAAGGCTCAGGGTTAAGAACGCCGACTGCTCTTCCAGGGTCCCCAGGTTGGACCCACACGACAGCTCATCATCTCTAACTTCGGGACCAGGACATCCTCTGTGTACTGCACACACTTGGTGCACAGAGCTACATGAAGGCAAAACACCATATACATAACAATAAAATAAATAACTTCTTGACTGGAATAACCAGGAAGTACTCTGCTTTATAATCTCTCATGGCCCTTGTTTATAAAGTTGTCCTCTGTGTCATGGGAATGCATGCCTTTTAGATAAGTTCTGAGTTCCAGGTCAGCCAGGGCTACATATTGAAAATAAATATGTCCATTTAAAAAAAAGTAGCCTACTTAAAAAAAAAAATGCCAGGTGGTGGTGGCGGTGAGGCAGAGGCAAACCATATAATGTTGTTTTATCTTTAACCTAACAGAATTAAAACAAGCTTCAAAAACTAAGCTTTTCGAGATACAAACTGAGAAGAACAAAGAGAAAGAGGATCTGGACAACATGGAAGATTTGGAAGTGATAAAGACCATGCAGAAAAAGCTGCAGACGGAGATAAAGATTACTACAGTCATTCAACATGTGTTCCAGGTAACAGTGGTGGCACTGTTCAAGGCCATGTCTCCAAAACACAGAAACGGCCTGGAGAGTTGTGTCATTGGTTAGGAGTAGTGGCTACTCCTTCAAAGGTCTCAGGTTCAATTCCTAGTACCTACTTAGCACCCATAACTATGTATCACTCTAGTCCCAAGGGATCTGATCTCCTCTTATGGCCGTCATGGCAATAGCCCTGGTAAGCAGGTAGGCATTAGGCTTGTAGCTAAAAACCCATACATATAAAATTAATTATTTCAAAAAGGCAAAAACAAAAATGTCTTCTTTTTTAGGGGGTGGGGAGGCAGTTAGTGTTTTCAGAGAGGGTTTCTCTGTGTAGCCTTGACTGTCCTGGAACTTGCTCTGTAGATCAGATTGGCCTTGAGCTCACAGAGATCCACCTGCCTCTGCATGTAAGTGCTACAATTAAAGGCATGCCTCACCACTGCCTGTCAAGAATGTTCCTTCTATAAAACAAATTTTTTAATGTTTTTATTCATAATAGCATAACACTTTCTAAAATCTGTGTAAATATTATTGCAATAAATAAGTTACTATCTTTGAGCCACTGTTTATCGATAGGAATGACCAGAATTCTTATTAATTATGATCCTAATCATTTCTTCATTGTCCACTCATTGTCTGCCACAGAAATGTTTGTCAACATTTTCAAAGGTTTAAAATGTTGATGAGGCCGGGTGGTGGTGGTGGCGCACACCTTTAATCCCAGCACTCAGGAGACAGGGGCAGATGGATCTCTGTGAGTTTGAGGCCAGCCTGGTCTACAAGAGCTAGTTCCAGGACAGGCTCCAGAGCTACAGAGAAACCCTGTCTCGAAAAATAAACAAAAACAAAAAACCGTTGATGAACTAAACTTTTTTTCTCTTTTGAAAATAAAACGTACCCGTTCAAGTTACTGTTTCTCCAGAGAGGGATGAGGTGCACATAAGCAGAGCTAAGTGAGCCTGACTCCAGGCAACAGTACTTTCCTCGTAGTTTGACCGAACACTGCAAGGATTCTTAGTGAGTAAAATCTGTCCAGGGAGCCCATAGGTGAACCCTGGAAATACCATCCGGCATTATGTGAAGCGAGGATGCCATGGTTGCTGTGGTCCTGCTCTTCTTCCTCTTGATCACAGTGCTGCATCCCAGTAGATGCTCAGTGGATATTAGATGAGGTCAATGCAAGGATGCTGGGGACATTGCTCAGTTGATGGTGTTCTGGCAGCACAGAGCCCTGGGTTTGGCTCCAGCCCACATGACCTGGACATATTGGCAGGCTGCTGTAATCCCAGCACCCAGGAGGTGAAGGCAGGAGCATCAGAAGTTCAGCATCATCCTCAGCTACACGGCTGATGTATAGCAAGTTCAGTGCCATCCTGGACTACATGGAACCTGTCTGTCCAGGAAAAAAATAAAAAAAAGGAAAGGATTCACTAATCTTGTTAAATTAGGTACCTTTTTTTTTTTTTTTTAATTGCAGGGCCTTATTTTGGGGAGTCAAACCAACTGGGCAGAGGATTCTGCCCTCAAGGAGATTGTGCTGCAGCTGGAGAAGGATCTCACCACGATCTAATAAGAATCCTGCTTCGGCACCTCAGCAGTGGTTTTGTGCCCAGTGCTGTAAATAGCAGAATTGGTGGGAAATGTAAGAACTGGTTTGGGAGCTGCTCTAATGCTTCAGCTCGGAGGGCCCAGGTTGCTGTTATGATGTGAAGTCTTCTGTTTGAAACACGACCAAAGTGACTGGAATGCACTGCAGGAGTCTGAGCATTGCAGTCCTGGGAAGGAGGCATCTAGTCCAGCTGCTACAGAATGTGGACATCTTCACCACCATTTTCCTGGGAGTCCCTTCCAGGATGCTTTTGTGCATCTGTGCATTGGCTTATCAACCAGCACACTAGGAAGGATCCAAAGTATGAAATGTTGATTGTTTAAGTACGGTTGTGGATTGTGACTTTTTCTTTTTTCCCCTTCTCTATTTAGCATGCATTTTACTTTTATAAGTTAATGAATTAAAAGAATAAATGTTGGGCTGGAGAGATGACTCAGTGGTTAAGAGCATTGCCTGCTCTTCCAAAGGTCCTGAGTTCAATTCCCGGCAACCACATGGTGGCTCACAACCATCTGTAAAGAGGTCTGGTGCCCTCTTCTGGCCTTCAGGCATACAGACAGAATATTGTATACATAATAAATAAATAAATTTTAAAAAAAAGTGGTCCTATTTAGCAGAAAAATTAAAAAAAAAAAGAATAAATGTTACCATCTTATTAATTAAAAAAGAAAATGTCCAGTAGTTAAGGGCACTGGCTGCTGTTGTTGTAGAGGACCCAGGTTTGGTTCCCAGGACCCACCTGGCTGCTCACAACCATCTGTAACTCCTGTTCCAGGGAATCTTACATCACCTTCTGGCCTCAGCCAAGATACCAGGCACGCATGTGGAGCATGTACATACATGCAGGCAAAACACACACACATATGAAAAAATCTTTAAACCAGGCAATGGTGGCTCACACCTTCAATCCCAGCACTCGGGAGGCAGAGGTAGGTGGATCTCTGTGAGTTTGAGGCCAGCCTGGTCTACAAGAGCTAGTTCTAGGACAGGCTCCAAAACCACAGAGAAACCCTGTCTCAAAACAAACAAACAAAAAAAAAATATCAATAACTGCTTTTTCGGTCATTTGTGGTGCTGGGAGTGAAACCCAGAATCTTGCCTGTAATAAGCAAGCTCCACCCAGCCCTCATGCGTGCTCTGTCAATCAACCTCAGCCTAGATTATCAGCATCATCTGGAAGAGCTTCGCCTTTTCCTGGGGTTTTATTGTTTCAGGCATTCCTTACTTAGCTGTAAGAGAGAAATATATCACTCTTCCCACAGCCCTGGGAAGTAACAGCCCCAATTCCCAAACTGTAACACAAATCTCCATCCATGTTACATAAAAGTATAGCGTGTAATAATAAGTCATGAGGACTCTGTAGCCAACAAGATTTATCACATCTCACCTAGTCTCAGAACTGCTCCCATGTAGAGGGATGGGCCTATATGTCACTTGTCTTGTAGGTTTTCTGTTTCTTCCTTCATGTCTACAGTCGAGATTTTCAAGGAGGTCTATCCCGGTCAAATCTGATCTTTATTACTTTGAAGAAATCCATAGCTTTTGTTTCCTGTGAAAACAAAGGCATAACATTTCCCCCAGGGCAACACATTCCCTGACTTCTACTCTGAAGTTAAGACAACTTTAAAATATATAGACTATATTTAATTCAGCAATTTTCTTCCTACAATCCAATGTCTCTCGTCTATTGTTGTTTATTAGCATTTTAAAAAATTAAAGTTAATAAAACACTATGTAATCTATCTCGTGGGTCTCTGTACCCCTTTCTGTTTATTGAGCATCTCTTTAAAGTATGATTGGATCTTTCTACAACTGCTTGTCCTGAAGGACCGTATGGTCTGCCTGTAATATGCTTTATGTTGTAATAAGTGAAAGCCTTTCGTTTTCCCTGTTGATCTGCATTCATTAGTCCAGTGCAGCCTTTGCCACACCTCTCCATTTTCCAGAAGGCTGGGGCCTTCTTTTTCAATTATTTCTAGAAAAAAAAAATTTTTTTCTAGGAACGCCTTGCCTACAATCCCTTTTGAAATGATCTTGCTTGCCAAAGCCAACACATTTGACATTTTGGCTTTTCTCAAAACCTTTAGAGATTACTTCTCCTATTAAAGTTGCATCATAAGCGTGAAATCCAAATGAGCCGTATTTCCAATCTACTCATCTTTTGCTGCTGATCTTGCCTTCAGAGGCCTGATCACCTTTTTGCATTCAGAATTAGCATTCCAGAAGCCGAAGATTTGATTAATATGTGTCTGACTTCTAGATCTGATACTGTCCTATTTACAGTTGAGGTCAAGAAATCAGTGAAAGCTTGTTTTGGGCCTTGTATAATTTTAGTAATGACTCAGACCTCTTTCCTGATTCTTTAACCTTGTCCCAAGCGTTTAAAGCCACTAAATGACATGGTACCAAGGTGTGGTCATCAAATTCAAATTGCCTTTGCTATTCAGCATACTGGCCTTCACCTAGAAAGTGATCTTGGGATATATTAATACATCTAGCCCTGTTTCATTGTTCTACGTCCCTAGCTTCCTCTTTCCGCCATGTTTACCTTTGTAACTGAGGACCAGCTTCCAAAGTTGCAGATGCCAAATCTTTCCAGTCTTGGGGGATAATTCTGTTCTGAGTTGCTCGTGAGTTTAACATCTGCTCCACATAGGGTGAATGCATACCATATGAAGTGACTGCGTCCTTAAATCTCCTCATCTAATCTTTCTACAGGATTCCACTTAACTTCTTCATAACCTAAAGTTGGTTTTCTAATAACCTTAGGTCACCCTTCTTCAGTTCACCATGTGGAGCCATGGTAGGTTCTTGGCTAAATTCCTCTGTGTCTGAGTATGTTTCCTATTTTCATTACTAGAAATAACTTCATTATTTCTAAGACTTGTATCAGCCAATGTTTCATATTTGGCACAATTATCAAACCAATTTTTATATTTGGCACAAAAAACCACCGTGGCTCTTAAGGATAAAATATGAATTACCAGACTGACAGCAATTACAATTGGCATACATCAATCTCAGCCGAGTCATTTAGCTCCTCAATTACTGCTTCCATTGTCAAGCCATCCATAGTAGCACTATACGGGATCCTCCCTCTCTCCTAAAGGACTTCCCAGGTGACTCACCAAATCTGCTGACTTGTCAGTTTTTCAGCAGCAGCTGTGGCGGTGGCAGTAGTGACAAACTCGAGCCCCTTCCGCCGGAAGCAAGCCAGCTTTTCCGAGTCCCCACAAACAGCTACACTAGTTGGCCTGACCTGACCTCTCTATTCCCGTTGGAGTGCCAAATAATGCAAGTCTTTCTTTGGAACACCAGCTCCCAAATAGTGACATGGAGATTTTTTATTACGAAAACTTAGCCTTACCTTAGGCTTATTCCCAACTAGCTTACCTGGAGTTCACTGTGTACCTAGCTCAGACTGACCTCAAACATATGGTCTTCCTGCCCTGTTCCCAAGAGTGCTGGGGTTACAGGAATGAGTCACTGTGCCGAGCCAGATTATGTAGAAGATACTCAAGACAGTGCCTTTCAAATGACTTCAAAATGAGTTGCTCTTTCGTTTTTTGGGTTTTTTGTTTGCTTGCTTGATTGATTTGGTTTGTTTTTTTCAAGACAGGGTTTCTCTTGAAAGACTCTAAATGCATTTGTAAGCTCCCTCAACCCTAAGACATTTTTCTAAAACCTTACACTCACTCTATCTTGGAAAAGAGACAGTCTCCCCCCCACCACACACACACACATACTGGACTGCTTATCCTCCTGTGTCCTTGTAAATAACCACGTGCTGGACTGCTCATCCCCCTGTGTCCTTGAGAATAATCTTCAAACGTAACTCCATTTTGGGAACCGAGGCAAATACAACCCACAGATGTTGACTCAGTTCCTGATGTGTTGATTTAGTCACTGAACCAAAGGTCAGGATGGACCACAGATGCTCTCCCTTATCACCTGACCACGCAACTATTCTCCTGCCCTGGAATGGACCAATCACTGCTAGTAACCCTTTGAATAAGCCAATCCAATAAGTTGGAAAACAACTTACAGGTTCCCCCCTTGTGTCTGTGGCTTTTCGCTTTAAAAGATGGGCTGTAACAGCTATCATTGTCCTTCATATCCCGAACCTGAAGGACCCTGTCATGACAGAATAAAAATCCTCTTGCTTTTGCATCAATTTGTGGTTATGTGAGTGGTGTCTGGAGCAACTCCTCCCTGATGTTTGGACATCTAGTCCAACACTCTGTGTAGCTCTGGCTGTCCTTTGTAGAGCAGGCTGGCTTCAAACTCACAGACATCCCCCTGCCTCTGCCTCCGAAGTTCTGGGATTAAAGGAGCGCACCACCACCACCCAGTGTATTTGTATATTTGATCTCCAGCAGATGGCTCAATGTTTTGGAAAGTTGCGGAATTTTAATTTATAATTTTTTTATGTTATGTGCACAAAAACACAGTTGTGGGTGTCAGAGGATGACCTTAAACTTTTTTTCTTCTTTTTTGAGACAGGGTTTCTCTCTAGCTATGAAGCCAGTCCTGGAACTTACTCTGTAGACCAGGCAGGCCTTGAATTCACAGAGTTCTGTAGTAATAAGTGCGGCGGGGCTGCATCCCCAGCACCCCGGCAGCCTGGCTAGCTTATGCTCCGAAATAACAACACACAAACTGTATTCATTTAAACATTGCTTGGCCCATTCTCTTCTAGGCTAATTCTCACATATTAATTTAGCCCATTTCTAATCATCTGTGTGTAGCACCCCAAGGTGCACTTACCGGGAAGATTCTAGCCTAGTCCATCCTGGGTCGGAGCTTCATGGCGTGTGTCTGCCCTGGAGCAGGGCATGGCGTCTCTCTCAGGCGTCTGCTCCCGAGAGGAGAGCTGTCGAGTCTGACCTCACTTCCTCTTCCTCCCAACGTTCTGTTCTGTTTTCTCCTCCCACCTATCTTCTAACCAATAAAATGGGCCAAGGCAGTTCCTTTATTAGCCAATGACCTTCCTCCATCAGAGTTCCACCTGCCTCAGTCTCCTGATTACTGGGATTAAAGGTATGTGCCTCAGTCTCCTGATTACTGGGATTAAAGGTATGTGCCACCATTACTTGGCTCTTAAATTTTTTTTAAAAATAATTTATTTTTATTTTCTTTGCATTAGTGTTTTGCCTGCATGTATGTCTCTGTGAGCGTGTCAGATCTTGGAGTTACAGACAGTTCTGGGCTGCTGCGTGAATGGTAGGAATTGAACTCATGTCCTCTTGGAAGAGCTGTCGGTGCTTTTACCACTGAGCCATCACCCAGCCCCTATTTTTTTTTTTTTTTTTTTTAAAGAGACGGGGTCTCGCTATGTTGCCCAGGCTGGAGTGCAGTGGCTATTCACAGGCGCGATCCCACTACTGATCAGCACGGGAGTTTTGACCTGCTCCGTTTCCGACCTGGGCCGGTTCACCCCTCCTTAGGCAACCTGGTGGTCCCCCGCTCCCGGGAGGTCACCATATTGATGCCGAACTTAGTGCGGACACCCGATCGGCATAGCGCACTACAGCCCAGAACTCCTGGACTCAAGCGATCCTCCTGTCTCAGCCTCCCGAGTAGCTGGGACTACAGGCGTGCGCCACCGCGCCCGGCCCAGCCCCTATTTTTAATATTTTTTAGATTTAATGTGTATGAGTGCTTTGCCTGCATGTATGCATGTACACCACAGGCATGCCTGGTGCCCTTGAAGTTCAGAAGATATCAGATTCCCTAGAACTGGACTTATAGATGGTCGTGAACTACCATGTGGATGCTGGGATATAAACCCAAGTTTATAGTAGCCAGTGCTCATAGTCACTGAACCATCTCTCCAGCCAAAGCTGTGCCATTTTCAAGAGGTAGAATGTCATTAAGGGCCTGAATCACGGAACCTTGAGGTTTTATACTCTGTGCCTACTTCCTGTGGGTTCTTTGGTTCCTGAATGAAGATGTGACAATACAAAATGCCTCACACTCCGGCCTCCATGCCTGCCTGTCCTGCCAGCATGAACCATCTTCCATCAAACAAACAAACCATTCCTCCCTTAGATTGCTTTTTGCCAGGTATTTGGTCAGAGCAACAAGAAAAGGAACTAAGGCAATGCTATCTGCTTTAGGGTTGGTGGCAGCTGGTGGTCCGATAATTTAATTAATGCATTCCAGAGACTTACCTAGTAGTTAAAAACATGTTATTTCGGACACAGAAATGGGTGATAATGGCTATCTGCAGGACTAAAGATAGCCTCAGATAATTTTGGCTCTCAATCTGCAGTATTCCAGTTCTCCACACACCATGCAGGCTCTGGTCAACCAGGCTGCAGAATCTTGAACGCGGTGTGGCTTTTGCAGGAGACGTTAGTTCATAGCCGAGTAGGAACATCTAGGTGGATGCTTCCAGGGGTTCAAAGACCTGACTTCTCAGTCCTCAGAACTCGCAGCCTACAGAGAAGCTGCCCCTTTAAAAGCCAGCATCCTTCCTTTACCCTTCTTTTAAGCTGGCCAGAAGCCACTTAACCAGATATGCCACCAACCCTGTGGCCAG